CATGAAGTCTATAAATACTCTTTAAAATACCAACCTCTTCCTCAGCGAAGAAAAACCCCCAGCAAGGACTTGGCATTGTTTCCTTTACAGGCTTGTCATGGTTTAATAATTTTCTTGGAAGTTTCCTGGAAATTACTCTATTGGTACCAGTTATGGGTGTAATGGAAAACATGCGAACAGTGATTCCTGTTATATTACCTTTCAGCAATCATTATCATCACAATGATCTTCAGTTCTCTCTTATGTTGCTGATTTACTCTGACAAAACCATGAGCATGTATTCCCCAGTAAAAGCTATAATATTTCAATAAAGTCTTACCAAACACTGTGTTGTGCGAAAACTTTAATTTCAACATTCAGCTGAAAAATTAACCTTTGAAAGAAATAACTGAACCATGCTCTTGCAAGGCTTGGATACCTTATAAGTCACTGTTTCTGTGTGTTAATAAGTGAGCGAGTGACAGATACGGATATTAACAGTGCTCTGTAGAGGATTGCAGGACAACTGCAAGGCATAATAATGTTTGGGGGGAGGGGGGGTTGTTAAAATTTAGGTGAAATCATGGGTCTGTAACAGACTCTGTGAGCGGCTGCTGATAGAAAAAAGCCATAGGCACAAACACAAACTCCATCAGCATGGCTGCACACTCATTATACATTCAAAGTAGGCTAATGAAGTTAAATAGCTAAATGGCGAGAGATAGAGTAGTAAAACAGTTTGTTTTGTATCTGTTGGGTTTCTCAGATTTTTATGCAGTACAATATGTGGTTTAAGTATAATATTACAGAAGATTATATGCATATTGATATTAAAATCAGGCCTACTGAGGGAGTTTTGGAGATTTGCAAAGCGTATTTATTGCTGCAGTTAGTGTTTTAACACCAACTTCAATTTTATGATGCTAACAAACAACATATGATGTTTTCTTTTCTTTTCATATTTAGTTGTTTTATTTTATTTATTGTTTTATTTACTTATCAGAATTGTTTGTGGTTGTCCCAAAGTTATGAATGATACTATTTAAAGTAGCACATATTTTCTTAATAAAATCTGAGTGAGTAATGTTAGCTAATCAGAATTAGCAGGTCAATAGTTTTATAGCTAAAGCTAGCTAATGTCCTTCTTTGATAATATTTTTTCTAGCATCAAGTATAAGAAAAATTAAAAACATTGCGAATAAAGGAATAAAACAGAAAATATTGGATATTAAAGGCCTTCTATGTGAGATATTTTCAGCTAACCGGGATAAATAGATCTTGAATTTGTTAATCCTAGCTAACATTAGCATACTTTAGCTAATAGCTAGCCAGTCTACTATAGGAGAGGAAAAATATAAAAACAATGATGATACTTAATTGAGGATGGGATATTTTATAAAATAAAAAGTGTTTATTTGACTAATGCAAACTTTTTTCTGTCTCTAACATTAATTATATCATTGATACATATGCAGATGGGCAAATTAGTATATTTTAAATATCTTCACATTTAAATTGATCCATCCTTATAAGATGAAGTAAATGAGTACAGTGAGAACAAGGTGAATTGTGGTTTAAAATTGGAAACCTTTCAAAAATCAGAACCATTTGAGTCTCAAACTCCTGAAAGGATTATTAGGTACACCTGTTTAGCTTCTCTTTAATCAGCTATCTAATCAGCCAATCACATAGTAGCAACACAATGCACTAAGGCAACTGCTACCTGCTGATGCTGAAACCAGGCTTTAGAAAGGAGAAGAAAGATGATTTAAGTGACTTTGAAGATGTCGTGTCTGTTGGTGCCAAACGGGCTGGACTGAGTATTTCAGAAGCTGTTGAAATAGAGTTCACACAGAAAATGTCTGAAAAAGATAAAATCCAGTGAACAGCAGTTCTCTGGGCAAAAATGCCTTGTCGATCTCAGAGATCAGAGGGTGACTGGCTTGACTACTTTGAGCTGATAGGAAGGTAAGAGTAACTGAAATAGCCTAACCACTCATCACAAAGTCTGAAACTTTGAAGCAGATGAGCTACAGCAGCAGAAGACCACACAGGGTGCCACTTCTGCTACTTAAGAAAAGGAAACTGAAGCTACAACTAACACAAAATCACCAAAATTGCACAACATCAGAGTGGAAAAATCCTTCTGATGGGCCCGATTTCTGTTGCGGCATTTAGATGTTATAGTCAGGATTTGCTGTAAACAACATGAAAGCATGGATCCTGCCTTTTAGTTCGAGCTGTTGGTAGTATTATAATGTAGGGGAGATACCTTATTCCTTCATAACAACTGAGCATTGTTTGAATTCCACAACACAACTGAGGTTGAAACAGAAACTGAAGATCTGACAGAAATTCTTAGTCATGACGCGTTTTATCATTTTATAAAATAAGTTAGGAATTTCTACAAGGACGATTATGTAGTTATGCAGTACAAAGGGTTAATGTATTTGAAGCAGATATTCAAATATTCAAAACTTCCATCTAATTTCCATCGAAAAACAAATACTACTGCAACCATGTTTGGAGCTCTACACATTAGGGAAGAAGAAATTGTTTCTAAGGTTCCTATTTCTATTGTTTGCTCGACAGAAGTGGACACACAGGGAGGTCCAGAGTTTGCCCTTGAGGAGTCACCCAGTTTTCATTTACACCTGAACCGGTCCTTCTGGATGCCAACATGCATTCCAGCCTGGGCTTCTTTCGTAGCCCTGCCTATTTAAGTCATCACCAGCACAGAAACAAGGAGCGATTACTACATATCAGATGGCGCTACCTGAAAATGCTGATGTCACTGATAGTGTACCTGTTCATTCAAATCAGTTAAACTTCCCTAAAAGACCTGATGAACAACTGGTTCATTGTTGACTGTAAAAAAAAAAACAAAAACCCAAAACACAAGCCAAAAAATAACCGAACCGCAAAACGGCGAAATTCTGCCTATAGTGCTGAAAACCTGCATGTTTCTTTAATTTATCAACATAAATATCATGTAGGACTGTTGCAAATGTTTTACCTCTTTGGTCAGCAAAATAACTGACAGTATTTCCCAAAGCATATGTATATGGATCATAGACTTGTGGTGGAGTATGTGTGAAGCTCAGCAAAAGGAAAACATTGGTTATTTGGGAGATCTTTTGCATTAAATGCTTCAAGCCGCTTAGATTAAAATCTCCATATCTTCTGGGATAACTCCACCTTCTATTTAGACCTCTTATCTTGTGGGCTTTTACCACCTCCCCCACACCCCTGACTTAATCACATGCACCCTCACCTGCACAGGTGAGACCATTCTCGAAGATGTACATGCAGCACAAATCACACCAGTTTCTCTCCCCTCCGGGTTCGAAGGCGTGTCCCTCTCCGGTCTCCTCCTTCACCCTGGGGTCCTTGTCCTCGGGGGAGAAAATGGTCTTCACATGTGGTTTGGATGCCTTCTTCCTCCCACGGGGCGGCCCCCCTTCGTGTCCCTCCATCCCGTTCCCAGAAGCTTCTGCCCCGTCTCTCCCCTCAGGTCCACAGTTCGACAGCTTTCTGTCGCTCCACATCCTCTCCAGACTGGACGGCTGAGGAGACGCCTGCCGCCGGACAGCCCTCACCACCGCCGCGCCCTTGTTGGCCTTGGAGATCCGCATCTTGGCGCCCGTCTGCGGCCACGTTCCCTCGTTCAGCGTGTCGTGGTGTTTGCTGACATGGACAGCCTGCAGGGCCAGCGGACAGTCGTCTGTGACCGATGAGCGCGGGGGGGCGTATTTCCGAGCGTGGTGTTTAATCATTACGCACACTTTTCATAGTCCGCCGCTGCGTGGAAGTGTATTCGCCAGAGTCACACAGGTGATGTCTTGTTATGTGTGACGATGACACCGTCGATAACGTGCTCGCAGTCGGAGAGCAGGTTGAGGCGGTCGGAGGTGTGCTGGAGAACGGGTTGGATCTCATTTCACTGGGAGACATGAAACACAGGCGCTCCAGGAGGGACTGCGTCCCAGACTTCGTTTACATACATGCAAATTTAAGCTTTCTTTCTCATTATCATCACACATCTCCCTCCCAAGCAAGTCCGAAACAACTTATCCAGTTTCTCCGGTTGGCCCTTTAATTCGTACCTGATAAAACTTGTTGCCTCCTCTGTCAGATAACTTTCTCCACAATGCAAACCAAATATGTCTGCAAGTACTCGGAGCGTAACCATTTAACATCGGGGGAAATATAAACAAGTCAATATGATTTGTGTCAAACTGCTGCAGCATCATTCTGTAGTCCTTCTTTTGACCACAGGATGGTGCCATTCCACTCAGTGAACAAAGATCAGGCGTCCGCAGGTAAAAAACAAAGAAAATGTTTATTGGCAGGGGAACATTGGTAAGATAGGGTCATACCAAAGGCCAGACATCTGGATTTTGTTTTTTGTTTAACTGAATACATAAAAAACATAAAACATGTCTTGGACTTCTTTACTACACACTGACTGAATCCCAACAACCGCAAAATTTTCATATATTCCAGCTTTAAAAAAATAATCGCACAACCCGTGCAACTAAACTAACTAAACTAAGAAAGCTGAAGTTTGTCCTCATATCTCGTGCAAAAATCTTTCATGTTTATTCCCCCTGATGTTTAGTGTTCTCATCTTTGACTTTTAGACTATAAAAATTTCTAGTAAACAAAATATCTTTCAGGATGCCCTTTTACCCACCTACAAGTAGTTTCTCACTGTTTGATGTTGTTTTAACTGAATTTCTTTGTAGTAGTTTAGATTTTTTTTTCCTTCACATCCAGTGAGCAAAAGCCAGACTTTATAAAGCGTCCAATTTATGGAAGCTTGCTTCGACTGTCCACAAGCCTTTTTTTAATTTCCTTATCTCATATTTGAAAAGTAGAAATCTTGATATGCCTTTTTATTTTGAGGTCATGGCCATTGTCATTGACATGAATATTAATACAAGGCTTTTTTAAATTTATGGTCATTTGGGTTTAGGTGAACTATAAATATGCACATTAAAGTGACCAGGAAGCACTTAATACAAACAAAGACTGATTTTAATTAACCTGAGCTTTTTTCCCCCCTCCATAGTCATATTCCCTTTACATACTGAAAATCTGTTACAGGACACAGATACAAACTTTCTTTGGCTGCTACTTTTTCCCCAGATAAGCAGGGGCCTTTCTTCACATGTTTAACAGATATTTACTTCCATATGAAAATGCCACAGGGATCCGTGTCTCCTCCTGAGTTCTTTTTTTGTGTGAAAATATTAGAAACAATAGTAAACAACATTAGAAACACATGAATGCTTTGTCACTGCTGTTCAATTTGTTTGGGGGCTTTTTTGTTTTTTTAAAGGGAAAAGTGCAAGTGCTTCATTATTCAACTTTCCCTTTTTTAATTCAATGTGCTGGTCCATCAGATCACAAAAAAAATAAAAAAAAATAAAAAAAATCAGTGCATAAGTTTGCAAAACATGTAATGCATTTATACAAAAACAATTTAAGACATGTAAAAAACAAATGTCTTAAGAAATGTCTTATTTAAATCTCACTGAAACTTAAATATAAAAACTATTACATGATCTGTGAGAAATTGGCTCTGATGTTTTGCAGTCTGTAAACTCATTTTTATTCTCTGTATAGTTCCAAGATGTCCTGTTGTGTTGTTAGAGTTAATTGTTAATGTTAGCAGCTCCTGAAGCTACAGTCCATGCAGGTTTTGGCCAACAGGGGGAGCTGTGGAGCTTGTAAACCACGTCCCTTCTGCTCAGTCGACTTCCTCAGTTTCATCAAACGCTGCATCCTGCAAAATAAGCAGATACTTGAGTGTTTTCAAAACTTCAACAGGTCAAGCTAATGGTTTAATTAAGAAGGCTTTTGTTTTAAACGTACATATCCTCCTTGGTCCTGCACCCAGGTTGAAAAGTTATCCTGCATGTATCGAGCACCATGGTTCAGCAGGCGGTTTGTGGGCAACGTTTCCACAGCTGACAGACGAGTGGTGACCTGAAACACAAGAAAAACAGATGTCTGAGGTAAGCCAAGACAGTCATGTGAAAATGAGTCAGCAGACCT